GATTTCTTTGCTGTCTCCAGATGCCTGCTGGTGTTCCTCAACCAGAGTACCCTTCAGGTACGCAGGGCTTGCCTGGGACTCTGCAGCAGGCACTGCAAATGCAGTTGTTGCAGTGAGGGAGGTTTGAAAACTGGAGAAAAGCAGCTGGAGCCTGACCATGGAATGGATTGCAGTGGAATAGCCCTGGTGTTCTGGGGCTGTCTGTAGGAACATGTACACGCTGTGCTGGAGAGGAGCAGTGGTCTTGGAAAAAGCAGATGCTGTTTGTTTGTTTGGGTTGAATGAAGTTGGGGTTTTGTTTTGGTTTTTGTTTGGAATGTTTCTTGGGGAAAAAAAAAAACCAAACCCAGCTTTATTTTAAATGCTGGTAAAATGGAATTTTTGGAAGAAAAGAAGTCAACATGGGAATAACGTCACTTGTCTGTTTAAATGGAAGGTTGGACTGTCTTTGAAATGACTCTACAAATCCTGAATGTATTTAGGATGCCTGTCAGTTTTAGGAGCATGCTCAGGCTTCTGGGCAAGGCTTTTCCTTCACTGTTTGGGTCAGTGGATTTCACTAAGCAGCTTTTCTTGATCATGTGCCAACTTTGGAATTTAATATACTCTCCCCCTTTCTTAGCCTGACCCACAGCACAGTGGATTTGCCTTTCGTTCTGGTGCTGTGACCTTGCTTTGGCACAGAGCTTTTGAAGATGACTTTCCCAGAGTATCTGCAATCTACACATTTCTTTCTTTCATTTGTTTATTTTAATTGAAATGGACATTATTAATAATTTTTGTGCTGCTGCCACATGCAACTGATCCATTAGAAGAAGACAGATTTGCAAATGCCCTGAATTCAGCCTGTGTGCTCTGGAAAAGAGTTTGTGTTTCCAGATTCTTCAGGTGAGAGATCTGAAACAGCTCCTGTCCAAGGACTGAGCTGCTGGATGTGGATCCCCCTGTGTTGATGGGAAGAGGGGCTGGTAGGAACAGTGTGGAAGAGATCTGTAGAGTCAAGATTTGCGTGGAGAAGGAGGATAGGGAAAAGCTGATCACTCTTCTAACCCAAGAACTGCAGGGCAACAAGTGAGCCCAGGAAATGGCAGATTTACAGAGGAACTGAAGAGGGCTTGTCATGCAGCACGTTTCAGCTTTGTCATGTGCAGGAATGAATACTAAAAATCTGCTTGGATTAAAGAATGACTTGGGTAAGTTCTGGAAGAATAACCATTGGATGGACATGGAGATGGATACAGAATTGTTAAATGTCAAGACATCTCTGTTACAAGAAGCCTCTGAGTCATTCATAGCACGTGCCATGGCTCTGTGCTGGGAGATAGGACTGTTGAGTGATCCTGTACCCTGCACCCCCTGCCAGGCATCCTCTGTTGGAAATGAGACACTGGCTTTAGATGGACAGTTGGCCTGACCTTGCCTGGCTGTGCTGAGTGCATTCCTATCCTGCTGCTCTTGGTGACCACTTGACAGGACTGAGACATTGGGATTGATGATATGGGACCACTCAAAACGTGTCAATGCAGGCAAGTCTGAAACAAACCCCATTGGCCCCATCAAATACATGGACACTGGATCCTGAAACAGCAACCCCTAAAAATAATCAAGGGGTCGTTGTGAAACTCAGCAAGTGCTTTCAGTGCAATGCTGAGATAGAAATCAGTGACTGCAGCACTTTGAGTGAGAACCAGGTGCAATAAGGGCTGTGACCTGCTGTGCAGACTGTTTGACCATCCAGCTGTACATCTGTGTACACAGCTATGCAGCCATGTACAGCTAGGCTGTACATCTATATGTACACCTGGGTCCACCTTCAGTCTCCCTGTAAACCCCCTGGAGACCTGCCTCCTGTGACCATACCCCAGCCCTTTCTGTGCCCAGGGTCAGAGGCAGCTGCCTGGCCTGTGCTGGCCTGAATATTCACAGTGGATCAGGCCCTGCAAACTCTGTCTTAGGTGTGTTTGTAAGGTTTATTTTTGGCCTCTCCAAATGCACACAGGGAGTTGGGAATGCTGAACAGCTTTGCCTTAACTGCATACTTTTGTTGGGAAGTGAACATGTTAGTAAGTAAAAGAGGTCGAACTGGTAGAGGGATTTGCTCCTCACTGCTCTGTCACCCTTGAAACTCACCTGGCCTTTAACTACTGAATGCACTTAGACAACGATTTTTTGTGCATTTTAGAGCTTTGCTATTTCAACAACTCTTTAACTGTGGAAGTTGGGAGGAAGCAAAGCAATCCATTGCTCTGTCAGGATGTGAATTACATCTTCAGATATTCCATGAGGTATTCTCCTTATCTAAAGTACAAAGTTGAGTCAACTTTGGGATAATTGTAAGGCCACAGGATTGCCCCTCTGTGTGTGTGTGCCCTGTCCTCCTCTTTGGCATGTGTGCACACTGCTGGAGATCCCATGCTCTGCTCTGCAAGGGTGGCAGTGAACCCAGTGAGGGATACATGGATATTACTGTCTGTGGCAATTTTGGAAGGGAAACTGAAAACAGGTTTAATTGCAAAGTCTTTCACGGGGCGCAGCGTTATTGCAGCAGCTTTTGGGCAATACAGGTGTGATTCATTCTCTGCCTTCCTGGCTTGGCCTCACTTTGATAAAGCTGCAGGTCTTACATGTTTGTATTCTTTACACCCAGAGCTCCTGCTCACAAAGGCAGCTCTGTAGGTGGACAGGAAGGAAGTTGAGTGATGTTGGCTCAGTGAAGAGATGCTGCAAGAAGAGTTTCTAGTTCAGAGGCTCTGGAATTTGCCCTTGAAGGCACAGAAAGGAGGCTCTTGAGTTGTGTGAAATGTTTGGTCACGCCAGAGTGGTGGCTCTGTCTTTGTTGGCTGGTCTCTGATTAGAGCATCTCAGGAAGACCTTGTGTTCCTCAGGGGTAAATGCTGGAGCTCTCTACATTGCACCAAGGGAGTGTTTCAGGTGTGAGAAATCTACTTGGCTTTCTGACCTCACTGTGAAGACAAGTTTGCCCATTTTGTGTGCAAGACCTTTCAGTAAATGTCTCATGGCAGATTTACCCTCACCAAGTGCAGGCAGGAATTCCCCTAATACTCTCACTATTCCCATCTTATAGGAAGTCAGAACAGTTGTATTTGGCCACCCCTGTGGCTCAGGGTGGAGGGAAGGAAGGAACTATGTCCCTCTCATGCACAGCACAGCGTCTGTGCACACAGGACCGTGGTGCACGTACGAAGGGCATGTCTGTACAGGCTGGGTCATGAATTCCCAGACTTTTGGGGGCCTGTGGTATTTGCTGAAACCCAACCTTCATCCACCTACAGCTGAGTCCTCCCTTTCTGTCGTTGGGCTCAGCTGAGCAGGGCTCTCCTGGCAGCCAGCCCAGCTCGTGTGACCGAGCCAGCAGCTGGCCTTCAGCTCCTTTTAGATGAGATTCTCCTCTCCCTACCCCATCCAGATCATCCCCCTCTCCCTTTTGTTGACCTATTTCCCCCCCTGCCACCCCCCTCCCCGTTGTGTATCTTTTGCAATGGTGAGCATGCTGTTTGTGCAGCTCCTTCCCAGAGCAGCTGCAGGGAGCTGTGGGAATATGGTGGAAATGCCGTGCGAGGCAGCGCGTGTTTCGGACAACCAGTGCCTGATTTAGGTTGGGAGGGACCTTTGCAGGTTGTCTGGCTCAGCCACTGTGGCTGGGATAATTCAGGCTGCTCAGGGCCTCGTTTTGTTGAGTGCTGAATGTCTCAAAGGATGGAGGTCCCTTTGCCTCTGGTCCTGGCCTAGGACTTGGCCTCTCTCAAGGAAGAATCCTTGCATGTTAAAGGAAGAATCCTTGCATGTTAAACTCATTCTGGATTTAAAATAAATGGACTGTGTTAACATTTTTAGAGCACTAAGTTTTAATTCAGTTTTTCTCCTTTTTAAGTCATGTGTGCCTGCTGAATTAACTGACTGCTCTGTCCACCATGGTGGGGGAAGAGGCTGGGACACTTGGTTTTTTTTTTTTGTCCCTTATGGGTGGGATCTGTGGCCCAGGACAACGCTGGGATAGAATGGGATCTGTTGTCCCAGTTGGCACACACGCTGGCTTGCAGTTGTCTGTATGCTAGGAGAGAAAGAAATATGGGCTTGTAGTATAATTTAGGTTGGAAAGTTCCTGTGGAGGTATCTGAGCTGATCTTCCAGTTGTTTCTCTGAGCATACACAGTGAAGTAGGTGCTCTGCCAGTCTGGAAGAGTTGTGTGGTCCCTGTCCTCCTGCCTGTGACCTAAACAGGAGGGGAGAACTGCAGGAGAGTGGGCAAGATGACAGCAAGTCACTCTGCTTGCTTTGGCATTTTGGTAACGCAGCGGTTTTTATTTAAATACCATATCATTATTATTTATGTATGAAAACCACTCTTAGTTCAGGATTAGTGCCAGTTCTCTAATGTTCATGCTGTACTGGTATTGCTCTGTGCACTGGGTTGTGTTTCTAGAAAATGACTGCATTTAAAAGAGATTAGAAGCAGAAGTGAGAGACGGCCACTTGCTAATTTCTAAGTGGTAGGTGGGTAGGAAAGTGCAGTGTTTCAGCTTTGGGTGGGCAAGGAAGGGTGTCTGTGAGTCACGAGCTGGTTTTAGAGGGAGGTCAGTGGCTTTTGGTACTGCAGTCACTTAGCTGGTTGGACTGGATCCAGATCTCATTAAGATTTAATTCATAACTGGTTCTTAAGGAATCTGGATCTTGTAGTAGTCTCAGCAAAAATCTTAATGGGAGGCAACTCTCAAACTTGTGCCTGCGGTCTCAGCAGCTGGCTCGAGGTCCTGTGGGCCTGAGGAATGTGCCGTGTCCTCCGAGTGTCGGGTCCTGGCTGACCAGTGCGGTCACGAGCTGTGACGCCTGAGCCCTCGTGGGGCACTTTGGGAGCCCATCCAGCGTGGGGCCTGGGTCCTCAGTCACAGCCTGGGGGAGGGCAGGGAGCCTCTCTCCACATGGAGCGTGTCAGGGATGAGCTGGATTCCCTCCTGACTCTGATTTCTCCCGTCTCCCAGGCCTGAGGACAAGCGTGGGACGATGTCGGAGGCGCGACACGACAGCACGAGCAGTTTGCAGCGGAAGAAGCCACCATGGCTGAAACTGGACATCCCGGTGCCAGTGCCCGTGACAGTGCCAGAAGAGCCCCCCCAGCCCGTGCAGGTACAGAGGGTGGGGCAGGAGCTGGGAAGGGGTGTGCTGGGAGCGTGTCTGTGCTCTGACAGTCCTGGCTGAGAGGAAGGCAGCGTGTGGTGGCAGGTCATGAGGCCACATGAGACGGGGCAGAGCCTTTGAGTGAATTTATGATCAGTAATTATCTCCCCTTGAAGGGGATGTGGGAGGGATGAGAGTGGGTGGCTGATGTGCTCAGATCAGTAGATGTGAGTGTTTGGATGTGGGCATTGTGAAAACTGTCTTGGCTGGGGATATGGGAGTGAGTTATTCAAACAAGCATTTCTTAAGGGGACTGGAGGAGTGAAGGGCTCCTAGACTAACATGAGGGCCTGGAAGTGCTGCAGCTTGTGTTGAAATGAGCTGGGAATGAATCTGACTTATGAATAGCCAAAATAATGACAGGCTTTCATCAGTAACAGCAGAGAAAGAACAGTTACTGGCAACAAGAAGCCGTTACCAGCATGAGGAACATAAGAAAACCATGTGGGATGCGAAATAAATAACATTGAAGAGTGCTGAAGCAGAGATGAGGTGATAGGTTAATAGAAACTGTGCAATGAGTGAGAGTAAAGTGTCCTTATTTGTCCCGGGAACAGGAAAAATATCAGGAATTTCTGCTAAAGTATCAAAAAGTGATGTAGGGGTGAGACCTGGGTAAGATGCATGCTGGCTGCTCATGTGGCCTTGCTGCAGGAAGAGAGACTTTGTGCCCCAAAGGCAGAGGTGGAGGGTTCTTGCTGCCCATCTCTGTGGGTGGGTACAGGCCTGGGTTCAGTCACTTATGTGGAAGAACAGTTTAGCCATCAGAGAAATGGAGGGTTATACTGCTTCCCTGGAGGGGGGCTGAGGACAAGCTTGGCTTAAGAGGGAACTTATATGGCACTTGGAATAGCAAGAACTGTCCTCTTCACCATTCTGTGATCCAGGGACTAAAATGTGCTTCGGTTTTGTGACAGCTTCTGGCAGATAAACCTGGGTCCTGGTCTCCCCTCAGAAGGAAGAAAATTGCAGGGACTACAAGGGGAATACAGGCTGCTATCAGTGCAGGTTGAAACCTTCTGAATGAATTATTTAAGACTTTGATGGATGTTCCCTTATCTGAAATCTCTAAATCCAGCTGGGCACTTTCTGGAGAGACTGTGCTGGAAGCTGCTGGAGGTGATGTTCTCTGAGAGTCCTGTGTACACAGCCCAGGATAAGAGTACATCTTGTGCTCCTTTGGCTTGTAACCTGAGTACCTGTGCATTGCTTTTACATAAAACAGCAAAATTGTTAACATTAGTGAAAATCATGAGCTTCCTGGGCTAGAGGGGCTGAAGTAGTCTTGAGGCACAGAGTGTCTGACTGGAGAAACAGTAGCTCAGAGCTTCACTTTCCAGAGGGATAGTCTGCTCAGCCTGCATTGTACAAATGGGAGATGGTGTTTCTGCCAAGCTGATAAAAATTTAATCCAGAGCAGCCCTGGGGAGGCAGTGGTATGAGCTGAGAACAGCCTGGTGAGCTGAGTTATATTTGGTAGGTCACATTTAGCCAAGACATGCCAGGAGCTTTCAAACCTGAGTGTGCCCCACACAATTAGGCTGTAAACAAAGCCAGTGTGCCTTTCCCAGCTTGCTTAGCCTGCAGCACTCAGCAGCTACAGCACAGACCCACCCACAGCTCTCACAGGCTTTTGATGCAGATCCAGAGTCACCAAACAGTCACTAAAGAAGCAAATCCCACTGACTGTGCTTCTCTCCGCCTTGTAGAGCGGTCCGCGAGTGTGCGGTGTGGGTTCCCTCTGGCGAGACAAAAGCCAGGAGGGTGTGTTGCAGGAGCTCATGTAATACCTGTTGAACTGCTGAGCGTTCCCCAGCCTGGCTGGCCCTGTAGAGCATCCCTGAGAGCACTGACTCCCTCCTGCTTCCCCCGGCAGCCGACGCGGCGCCAGTTCCTGCGGAGCGTGAGCATGCCGGCCGACAACAGCCGCGTGCCGTCCCTGCCCCACGACGGGAGGAGACCGGTGCTACAACGACAGACCTCAATCACCCAGACCATCAAGAGGTGAGGTGCTGCTTCGGTGGGTTCTGCTGTCCATTGCCACCCTCCATCTGTGCATTTACAGTGTTCCTCTTGCCCCGTTGCCTGGCACTTGGGTGGCGCGCTGCCACAGCAGGGTGAGGTTGACTCCCTTGTTATCCATCGTGAGGCTGTGGAAGGGTGGGTGCTAATAGGTATGTCAGCCCAGTGGTGCTATCTAGCCTGTCTTTAGTATGTGAGGAGACAAGTCCTGGGAGGAGGATGGTGGTGAGCAGCACAGTGAATGGTTCTTGCTGCTTACAGACAGATTTTGGCTGCCTCCTGTCCCAGGGAGCTGGCTGTTCCTGAGTAACAGGGTGCCTCAGGCCCTGATGTTTAGCTGTGACTGTACAATGTGGTGTGCTGGGCTTGCTTTGGTGCTGTGTCTGAGAGCACATGACTGCTAGGGGAGGCAGAAGCCCATCCTGAGCAGACCAGGACTCTCAGCAGCTTGGCTCCTACCAGGGCTCATTGGCAGGTCCTTGGCGTGGCTCTGAGGGGTGATGGAGAGAAGGGAGAGGCTGCTCTGGTCATCATTTGTCCCCATGACCCAGTGGTCTCTGAACCCAGCCAGAGAGCTGGATGCTCCTTCACTCCCCATGGCAAAGGTTTATCCCAGTTTGTCCAGAGCGAGTGGCTTTCCCAGCTGCTCTCCTGAGATGACTGGTTTGTATCTCTGGCCATGTGTCAGGCCTGCCCTGGGTCCCAGGAGCATCCCTGGAGCTCCATAGGTCAGGGGTTCTTCCAGCCAGCCAGGCTTTACCCACTCCCAAAGGAGCAACTTTCCAGCTCCGGGAGAGACTGATCTCCCACGCACTGTTTGCCTCAGACCTTCCCCAGCTGCCTTGGTGGGGAAGCTCTCCCCCAACAGCTCTTCCTGATCCTGCTTCTTGTGAGGTTGGGAGGGCTGAGCTGTGAAGCAGTGTCTGCTCTTTTCAGGGCTGTGGGCAGCTCCTGGGCCTGCTGAGGCTGTCCTTGCACACCGAGACTGCCTCTTCCCTTGCCTCCCTGCCCTTGTGCTGCTCCTTGCCAGGACAGTTAGGCAAGGGTGTGTCAAGGGTGAGGGGATATCCTGGGAGGGTGCTGTGGAGGCACTGACAAGAAGCATTGTGTGGGAGGGCCAGGGTAACCTCCCCCAAAGGTCCTCACAACATGCAGCTTGTGCATAGGGGAGGGGACTGGGGAGCTGTGAGACACTTTGGTGCTGGTGTGACAGATTTGCCCCTGATGCTACTACACTGTAAGGCAAACAAGGCACATGGAGCTACAGTGAGAAGGAAGGAGTGCTGGACAGTGGTGGGGAAGCTCCCCCACACTGAGGGAGATGCTGGTGTCCTGCCTAGCACTGAGGTGGTGAGCAGACACATGTGACTGTTGCACCAACAGACCCTGTGACATGTCTTCCTTCCCAGGCTGCAAGTGCTGGGGCTCAGGTTGGTGGCTGCCTGTGCCTAATGTATGTATTTTGTACCCTTGGAAGTACACACAGGGTGCCCCAGAAGAGCACAGAGAGTTTTGGAAGGCCTGGGGGTCTCCTGTAGGTGGAGGGTTCAGTGGTGTTTTGCTCTGCCCAGTTGTGCATCATGGGGGGTGGCCAGGTCTCCTCCTCCTGGGCACCTTCTAGAGAGTGCTGTGGGATGTGGGTGGGACAGAGGTGCAGCAGTGGGAAGGAGTTTCTGAGGGGCAGAACTGCAGGAGATGCATACATGACACAACACTAGCAATAATGGAAATGAGTGGATCAGAAACACGGACAGGGAACCGGAAAGTACCAAGGAAAGGCCCAAGATTCTGTGCTCCATTTAGCAGAGCTGGAGGTGCAGTGGAGAATTGCAGACTGTGCATCTGTAAATGTGTCTTGGGGATTTGTTCTGTGAGCCCTGGAAGGCTGATTGACAAGTTTTCTGCTTAACACAGCCCTCAAGATGCACAGAATGTGAAACTGCAGCAGGACCCCACACCATTTTGTTCCCTGGGGCTTGGAGGACACAGATCAAGTGTGAACCTAAGGTCAAGCCTGTGTAGTGCAGAACATGGCATGGGAGTGATTTAGGTGCCTGAGTGAAGGCATCCAACACCATTTCCAGTCTCCCAGGGTGTCCAAGGTATCCATACGAGGCAGCAGATGTGGCACAGATAGACCTGTGCACCAGGCAAGATCCTGCCAAGGTCAGCCAGAATGGGCCCAGGGCTCTTCCAGTGGCATCAGGCACCCTAGATACAAGCAGATCATATCCTGACCTGCTGACACCTCCGTGGTTTCACACTCTGGTATCCAAAGCCAGCCAGTGGGATCTGTAGCTGAGTGTCTGGGCAGAAGAAGGCAGGTCACAGAGGTCTGAGGGGGACTGCAGCATCCCTGGTATCTTCAAGAGCAATGGGAGACATATATCAAGAGGTGCAGATGCACCAGAAGGATTCAGCAGCCTCCTGGGTTCAAAGATGCTGTTGTGTGACTTGAGTTTGGTTGTTTCTCTTGGGTCATGCTCTCAGCTGGAGGGCCCTGCTACGGCCAGCATGGCACAACTGCTGCCAATGGGGCTATGGCAGGAGACAGGGAGGTGCTGGATGCAGGTGGCTTCTCCCCTCCACAGCCCTGCAGGCTCCTTGCCTTCAGCTCTCTTTTCTTTGCAGCAGACAGGTTCGCTTTCAGAGGAGTCAGACCCTGCCCGCTCGCGGGCCCCGGGCGGGCAGGAGTTCCCTGAGAAAGCGGCAGTCCCTGCCCCGATCGTTTTTCAGGTACTGGTGGCACTGAGTGTGAAACCCACCCCTGCATGTGTGTGCAAGGGCTGTTGTGAACTGCACAGACTCTGGCTGTTGCTGAGACCATGCTGAGACCGTGTTGGCTTCCCAGGAGGTCCGTGAACAGGCGGAGTGAGAAAGTTCATGTGTGCTGCTAACAAAAACCAAGTGTCACTCCTACTAAACGTGTAGGCAGCTGTCAGTAAGTAGCATGGACTAACAAGCTGTCCACCCGCCAGCCTCACTCCCTCCTGCCTTTCCTAACAAGCTGTCAACCTCCTGGTGTTCACCTAAGCTGGAATATCTCCCCAGGGCAGCCACAGCCCAGCACTGCTGTCAGTGCAACATGGGGCTGTGCATATGCTGACCCCAAATCCTCCTTGGGGCAGCAGGGGAAGGAGAGGAGGCAGCACTGAACAGATGCTGTCATGTTGTTGCAGATGGGGCTCAGAGCTCGTGAATGGATTAGAGTGTGTCCACTCTTACCCTGTTGACATCATGGCTTTTTCTAATTCAAATGTGACTGTCTTCTTTTTGAGGTGGAGGTCTTTGTTTACTTAGCACCAAGGAGATGAGCCATTCCAGGAGTCCAGGGCCCAGTGACCATCACCCTGAGTCTGGAGCTCAGTAAACTTTTAAATCAGACAGAAAATATGATTCTGGGTGTGGCAGGGACTGGACTTAATGCCCAGGAGTCTGTTCCTGTCCCACCTTCCTCACCGCTGTCCTTGGCCAGCTGCCATTCTGGCACTGTGACCACCTTTGGGACTGTTTGTGTTTGGTCTTGAGCTTTCAGGGCTGGTCAGCTCCACACAACAGAAGAGTGAGATCTGACCTCTGATGTCAGTTGTTACTGCTCCAGGGAGTCTGTAGGACATCATGGGGCTCCCCAGCTGAACAGAGGCATTCAGCATCTTCCCAGGGTGCTCCAGGTGCCCTGAACTCTGTAGTCAGCTCTCCTGGACTATCCTGGCTATGATCAGAGGGCTCTTTGCCCTGATCCTCACCCAGTGGTGTTGGCAGTTCAGGAATGGTCCTCACAGAGCAAACAGCTCCAGTGGTGCTTGTCCTTCCAGGCAAGTGGGAGCACAGTTTTGGAGGGCTCTGAGGCTGCTGGTGGTGCGATGAGCCATTGCTCAGCAGGCTCATGTGGGCACAAATGACCCTCAGCCCTCTCCTTTTGAGGCCCCATGTACGGGCTTGTCACCCAACATCACCTTGCTGTTGAAATACTGGTTACAGAAGTCCACGGGAAGTTCTCTGAGTTGTCAGACTGTTTTGTGGCATGTGTTGTGCCAGTGAACTGCACAGCCAGGGCATTACCTCTGTGCTGAGGCTTGGGGAATCTGCCAGCTGAGGTGCTGGCCCTGGGCCCTTCTGCTCTGAACAGAGGCAAAGATTGCTCTGCTGAGATGTGGGAGCAGAGCGGTGCTCCGGGACATGTATCCCCATCTCTGAGGGCTGGCATTTGGAGACATTTAGGTCAGTGAGGTCAGATGAATTCTAGCCATGGTCCATGTGACCTCATGCCTGCTGAAGGGTCTGTTCCATATCTTTGAGAGAACAGGGAAGGCTGAGGGCAGTGTGTGGTGTTTGCATCTGCAGGTTTCAGCTGGAAAGGCTGTGAGTTTCAAACTCACACCTTCTTGCAGGTGGCAGGTTGATGGTATTTTTGCTCAGTAGGGTATAAAAGCACAGGACCAGTTTCCAGTCTTCAGTGTGGTGTCTCAGTTCCCCTGTGTGGCCTAATTCTGCATTTGTCCCAGCCTTTACTCCCCTGTGTGTTTTAATACTCACTTTGTGATCTGTGAGGTCTTGCTTCTCAGCAGCTGGAAATCCTGCCCCTGAGCAGGGGGGCTGAGGCCAGGGCTTTGGGTTTGCCTTGGAAGGACTTTCAGGTTTCAACACCTGGGCCAGTCAGCTGTAGGCTGAGAGAGCTTGTCATTTCCTGAGGATGAATTAACTGTGGTGGGAAAGGCTTGGCAGGGTGGGATGACCTCTGTAGGTTTAGAGTACCAGCTGTCCTGCAGGATTTGAAGTAGGTTTTTAGTCTGACTTATCCTGATCCCTCTCTGCCTTCCTTGGGATTTTGCTTCTGATCCACTGCTCTTCTGTGACAGCAGCCAGTTGGCAGCAACCCTGCCTCGTGGCTGCAAACCTGTGCTCCTGCTTCTGCACCCAGCAGCTTAGAACTGTGTGTGTGTGCCTTAGCAGAGCTCAGGACCACAGCAAACATTTGCTATTGATGTTACCTTTGAGGAGGATAGAAATCCTGCAGCATGAGATGGAGAAGTTAGGGATATGCTGTGAGTGTGTGTGTGGGGGGGGACTGGGAGAGAAGAGTGAATTCTGGAGAAGCTGCTGAGCCATGGAACAGTACAGTCCCACAGTGGGGACCTAGAGCTGGCCTGAAGATGGTAAGTGTTTGCAAAACATGGGTTTTAAAGTAAAAAAAAAACCAAACACCTTTCAGTAAGTTACTTTCTGAATTTCTGTTCCATCTCTTTTCCTTTATTTTTAGAAAAACTCAGAACAAACTGTCCTTTACCCACAGTGAATCTCTCCTGGCATTTGTCTTCTGTCTTAAGAGACAAAATGCTGTTGATGGTTCTGGCCAGCATCTGTCAGGTTGCTAAAACCAGCTGAGGACAAGCTGCAAGATGCTCACGGGGAAGAGTTCTTCCTGTCTTTGAATTGGGGTGGGCTGGAAGTGACCACCAGGGGTTTTTGTCTCTTCGTGTGCACGGTCCAAGCAAACAGAAACGCTTCTTAGCACTTGTCTGCTGGCATCTTTCAGGGGCACAGCAGACTGGTTCGGGGTGAGCAAAGACAGCGACGCGACTCAGAAGTGGCAGAGGAAGAGCCTGCGGCACTGCAGCCTGCGCTACGGGAAGCTGAAACCTCAGGTCATCCGGGAGATGGACCTGCCCAGTCAGGACAATATTTCTCTAACGAGCACAGAGACTCCCCCTCCCCTCTATGTGGGACCCTGCCAGCTGGGCATGCAAAAGGTGAGCGCCCTCCTGAGTTCCCTGCACTGTGCCTGTGCTGCTGTGGGAGCTGTGACCTGGCTGTGGGCTGAGCTCTGCCCGGACATGTCTGGGCTCCCTGCTCAGACACTTCTCACGGCTCAGGTACAGTTTGGCAGAGTTCCTCCTCCAGCAGCCTCTCTGGTGTCGTTGGCTGAGATCCCTTAGCTGTGCCAGCAGTAGGCTCAGGGCTGTGTTTGTCATGCTGGGACTGTGGTGGTAACATGTGTGCAGTGTGTCCAAGAGCTTTCAGCTCAGGCCTTTTGCTGCCATTTTGCAAGGATGAAATCCTGGTTTACAGAGTGGTCAGTATCCTGGACCCAGATGTGCAGTAACAGGCCTGGTATTACTCAGTACACTTACCCCAAGCAGAACACAGCTACTGTCCTCATAGAAACCTGGTTATGTTTTAGGACTTTGGAAAGTGGCTCTTGCATCAGTGATGCTACAGCTCTGCTCTTGGGTCCTCAGAAATGGTTTTGTGTGCCTGCAAAGGGCATCTGGTAGCCTCCCACTCACTGCCTTCAAGTGTGACCCCAGGGGGCCAGGCCCAGTTGAGCACATCCAGTTACCAGCACCTCTGAACTAACCCACAGTATCCCAACCCTTCCCTTTGCTCCTCTCATCAACACTAATTGCTGTGGTTGATGACTGTGCTTTAGTGAGCCCCACTGCAACCTGGGCTGGTGGGAAGCCATTCCTGCCAAAGCAGGACCTGAAGCCTGGCTGCACCACTGAAGCAGAGGAGAATATTGTGCGTTTTTCAATCAAGTTTCACTTTGTTGGGCTCTTTCCTGTTTCCTTACCAGTTGGTCTTTGGCCACAGGAGACTCAAATACTGTTGGGCTGCCTGTGGGCTACATTAAATCAGAACATGGTGTCAGTAGGTGTGTAAGCCCATCAAGTGTTCCCATTGAGTGTTCAGCTGTGGATTAAAAAGGCTCGTAAAACCTTAGGATAAAGCGTAGAGGTCATATGGAAACCACAGCTGTGATGATGTAAGGACAGAGGCAAGGTTTGTAGCTGAAGGCAATATTTTCATTACGTTGATTCCTATGTTTGGAATAAGTGAGAGCTTTGGCCTGAGGAGTCCCAAAGAAGGGCTTGCAGCTCCTGGAAGCTTGCCTGCTCCGTCCAGCTGTTAAACCTAATTAATGGAAGCAGATGTAAATATACAGTTAAGCTTCAGCAGGATAACAGGATACTGTTTAAGTCCTGAGCTGTCCAGTATCAGGAAGGAAACTAGCTGGAGAAAGAACCTGGCTGTTTTCAGGGATTTCTCAAACTCCTGTTTAGACAGCACATTCCCTGTCTGTAGAGCTCACTGGCACGGGAGAGAGTGAAACCAAGAGCTCAGGAAGGGCTGAAGGAGGTTTGAAGTGTCCTGTGAAAGTCTGGAACAGTCTGGGTGACAAAAATCAATACCAACAACAGAAAAAAAAAAGGGGGGGAGAGGGAGAGGTTTGGGGACTTAGGCTTGAGTCTTACAACTAGGCCTTAGCTTGCAACAGGCTGTTCTGGATCTCCCTATTGTAGAATTGGTTGTTGGTCCATCCAGCCTGGTTCTTGGTCAGTCCCAGGAGCCAGGTGCCTGTCACGGTCTCAGGATGTTTGCCTGGAGGGAGGAGGGCTTGGTGGGGAAGGGTCTGGGGGTGAATGGGCTGATGGGCTGCTTCTCTCTGCAGATCATCGACCCCCTGGCCCGCGGCCGAGCTTTCCGCATGGCTGAGGACGCCGACGGCTGCAGCATCCCCCACACCCCCATCACCCCCGGGGCCACGTCCCTCTGCTCCTTCACCAGCTCCCGCTCGGGCTTCAACCGCCTGCCCCGGCGCCGCAAGCGCGAGTCTGTGGCCAAGATGAGCTTCCGAGCGGCCGCGGCGTTGGTGAAGGTACGGCGAGGGAAGGGTGACAGGGAAGGAGCTGCTGGGCAGGGAGGGTGGGGAGAGCCGTGCTGGAGGGCAGGAAACCCAGGCACCTCCTCTTGTGTTTCAGCCACGTGTCCAGGAGGCAGGACTGGCAAGAAGCGGGGATGGTGGCTCGGTTTTTGCTTTCCCTTTTGCTTTCCCTTTTTTTACCTGGGGCCTTTTTTTGCCAACAACCTCAGAGCATTCCAGCAGGTCCAGTGCAGTCTGCCTGGACCTTTGGGTGGTCCAACTGCTCCTGGTGAGCAGTCATGGAACAGCAGAAATACCCAAGGTTATTACCATACAAGTCTCTTTATTCTTCCATGTGTCTGCTTTCCTGGGCCCAGTGACCTTTTTGCTGTGCCCAGTACCACCCATCACTGTGGTTTGGTCAGAGACATATGTGGTGGAGGAGCCTGGAGATGGGCACTGTGGATTGAGGAGTGGGGTCTCACCCGTGAGTCTCACCAGGAAGGTGTCACACATCAAGTCTGTTGTGCTCCACACACAAGCATGAGGCAGCTCAGCACTTGGGCTCCCCGTGCAGTGGCTGGGGTGGCCCTGTGTGTGGCTGGCAGTGACCTGGTGCCCCTTTCTCTGGCTCAGGGCCGCTCGGTGAAGGACAGCACGCTCAGGAGGGCTCAGCGGCGCAGCTTCACCCCGGCGAGTTTCCTGGAGGAGGACACGGTGGATTTTCCGGATGAGCTCGACACTTCTTTCTTCGCTCGGGTGAGGGGCAGGTCTGGCCTGGTGTGGCCCCAAAGGCAGGGCAGGACTCTAGTCCTGGCAGGACTGTGTGTTGCAGGCAGCAGCACCGCTTTCTGCCAGGGCTGGTGTCACAAATGGGGTGTTGGCATCTTCTGATGGGACTTCTGTGTCTCTGCCCAGGAAGGAGTCCTTCATGAGGAGCTCTCTACTTACCCGGATGAAGTGTTTGAGTCGCCGTCAGAAGCTGCAATCAAAGATGCTGAGGTGAAACCTCCAGATCAGACAGATCTTACAGGAGGAGCCTTGGACAAAAACGAGCTCGAAAGAAGCCACTTACTACTGTGAGTATCTTCCTGGAAGCTGCCAAAGCCTAACAGGGGGTGACCAACCCATCTGCCGTGGGACCTTCTGTGCAGAGGAAGCCATGTGAGTGCTGTGGGTGCCTGGTGCAGAGCTCAGAGCATGGCAGTGATGGGTTTTCTTTAAAACCAGCTACCCAGGCGTGCAAAAGGTGACTCTGAGGCCACCTCTGCAGCCTCTCCAGCAACTTCCAGCCTCACCTAATGTGTTTCAGAGATTGTATAATGCCTTGAGGAAACAAAAGACACTTTAAATCAGCTGTGAGGGTGCTGGGGGGCCAGCCTTTGGCTATGGAGAGCGTAGCAAAGACAAGAAGGCTGTTGCCATTGCAACAGTCACCAGTAACTGTTGTCTTGCTCCAAGGAGCAGTGTGAAGCATTGCTGAGTGTCGAGCTGGGCTACATTCCTCACTTGAAACGGGAGAAAGGTGTGGCACTGATGCTGAGAGCCCTACAAATATGTGGGTGGTACTGTACTGTATGCCTAGATTTTTTCCACCTGAGTAAGTGGTACTGAGTAATTGCTCCGTGTCGTTTCCGAGTCAGCTCTAGCTTAGCTGGCAGCTCACCCCAGCACAGAGCTCTGCTGGGTGTGAACATGGAGCAGACAGGGAGGTCCTTGTTGTGGTTCTGCTGCTCACAGCCCATCTTGCTGTGTTGGCGCTTTCCCTTCAAGTGTTTCCAAGAACTTGGCTCAGCCTTAACATAAGGGGAAGCAGCGAGTGGTGGGAGTTTGTTGTCACTCCTCTGAGACGGTTCCAGTCTTCTTGGCACCACTTGGATCTCCTCAAATAGCTGTATTTATTGAGGAAAATACATTTCTTTCACACTTCAGAGGGCTGTTATCAGAATCACAGTTGGGTGTCCTTTACGTGGCCAGGGGTTTGTTTTGGCACAGGCTCCCAGCCCAGCACAGGGAAGAACACTGGCAAACAGCACCTCTGTAACACAGAAACCACTTCAACTCTGGGGCAAGTGGAATCTGCACCTTCTGTGGGAGAAGGACTTCCCAAGGGGAAGTTGGGGTGTTAAAATGCATCTTCTGCAAGGTGCACTATATTGAAAAGAGCTGAAGTTTCCTGCAAGATTTTGGCTAAAGAGGTTCAGATTCTCCCTCATCCTGTTGCCTGCCCATTCTTCAGAGCTGTCATGCTCCCTCCAAGGTGCTCTGGTGATCTTTCAGCAAAAAGTTTGTTAGCTGGTTTCTCTCACCATCTCTGACAACTCCTGTCTGTGTGCAGAGTGGGACATTTAGGAAACCAGAGGAGGTCACCTGGACTAGATCACATGCCAGGGACATGCCTACTACGGTGCCAGGCAGTGAGGATGGTGAAATGGGAGGTTACTTGGCTTTTCTGATCAGGGATTGAATGCTGGAGACCTGAACCTCCACACTGCTGTTTAAGAGCAAGGAAATACAAAACTGTCTGGATATGATGGAGTCTTACAAAGCAAGTACTATTCACCAGTAAACTGTGCAGCCTTCATCAGATCTATTTTGGTAAAAAAGCCTCCTTTTAACTCAGTATGCTTGGGATTTTTATTGTGTTGTTGAAGCCTGGTTTTGTTGTTCTGAAAAACACACACATTGGTACAAATAAAGGGGGGAATGGAAGAGAGACTGTGAGAGGTAACTGGCACAGCTTGCAGCATGTGACAGTGCCAGTTTCTTTTTTGGTTCTCCTCTGTCTGATTGGGTGGGCACAGGAGGTTTGATCTGCCAGTCCAGTCCCACTGAAGTGCTTTAAAGGTGGGGATTTACACTGCTGGGCTAAACTGCACTTCCATTTCACAGCAGAGACCAGAGCAGGAGGAATGAAGTAGAGGAGGAAATTGATGTGCCTGAGGCTGCAGATGTGCCTGTTACTGGAACACTTTAAAGCCTTGAGAGCTCCTCAAGTGGGGCTTAGTTTGGCACAGCTGCTTTGTGCCACCTTCTGCGTGTCATCCTGTGCTTTCATCTGCTGGCCCCGTGCAACCCTTTGAAATGCAGCTTCCCCTTCAGGGCACCTTGTGTGCCCTCAGCAGTGGGCCAGGCAGAGGTTCTGCTGCCACCACGGAGCAGGGGAGGGCTGTTCCCCACGGCTGTCCTGCTTTTGGTTGCAGCCCCCTGGAGCGCGGCTGGAGGAAGCAGAAGGACGGGGGCCTGGCGCAGCCCAAGGTGCGCTTGCGGCAGGAGGTGGTGAGCGTGAGCCCCCAGAAGCGCGGGCAGCGCATCGCCGTGCCCGTCAGGAAGCTCTTTGCCAAGGAGAAGAGGCCCTACGGGCTGGGCATGGTGGGCAAGCTGACCAACAGGACGTACCGCAAGCGCATCGACAGCTATGTCAAGCGGCAGATCGAGGACATGGACGACCACAGGTGAGGCTGCAGCAGGGCAGGTCCCCAGCACAACCGGTGTGTGGGTGAGGGCTGTTGCCCTCTGGTGACTCAGGGCACTGCCTGGGGGTGCTGCTGAGACCCCCCAGTGTGTATCCCTGGAGTACAGGGCCAGCTGCAGCAGGCAGCACCGTGTTGGTGTCACCGTGCACTGGGAGCTCACCCGGCTCCTCACGTTGCTTTGGGTGTCTGGATCTCTGCTGCCTGGAGGGACTGCAGGTCTCTGCCCCACCACCACTGTCCTGTGATGAACAGGAAGGCTCAGGTATCCCTGTCTCTGATCATTCCCCTAGGGCCGTTATATCAGACACATGGCACAGTTTGGCACCAGGCTTCAGTGTTCTCAGGGATGTTTTCTTGGGAAAGGGTGGTTGTCTGGTGTAATGGGGGAGTCAGAGTAAACAAGGTCTGTCTGCCAGCAAGGCCTTAGATCATCACCTTCAGTCTGTGCATCCCTAGGTGATCCTGGCTGTGTACCCAGGTTTTGGCGAGGTCCCCGGGGAAAAGCAGCAGCTTTTCTCCTGTGTTCTGTGAGTAGGTGCAATATGCCTGGGTTTCTGCCTCTGATCTTTTCCCTTTACCTCCATCCAGGCCTTTCTTCACCTACTGGGTCACCTTTGTGCATTCCCTCATCACCATCCTCGCTGTGTGCATCTACGGCATCGCCCCTGTGGGGTTCTCACAACACGAAACTGTTGATTCAGTAAGTGAATCCCCCTCACTTGCCTGCAGTGTCTCAGCTTTCAGCTGCTGGCTCTTATGTCATAGTCTTCAGCATACTGGCTACTTGCCTGAGGGCCTTGATGGCTGAATTCTGGATGTCCAGCCGTGGGGGGCTGCCTGCAGCATCTCTGTGAGCCCCTAGACCATCGTCTCTCCCTCCTGCAGCCACCTTGCTCTTGATAGCAGATTATATCTGACACAAAGCATGGTGGGCTTTTCACAGGCTCTGCCTCTGGCTCTGGCTGTGCTGGCAGCACTTCCAAACAACTTGTTCCCCTCCTGGTGGAGACCAGAAGGATGTTCATGGCAGGGAAATATTTCAAACCTGGGCTAAGTTTTTGCAGCAGTCGCAGGATTTTGCTCCTGCCAGGAGCAAAACTGACCTGTTTGACTTTGAGGGCTGATCCTGAAGCTGTTGGTAGCCTTCCCACACGTTGTGAAAGGTCTCTGGGGTACAGTCGTGCCCCTGCTCCATGCAGGGAATGCCTGGGGAGTTTCTCACCTACGTGTCTGACAGCTTTCAGAGCACTGCCACCAGCACCTGGGCCTGCACTGCCAGCTGGGGCTGCCTGTGCTGCTGAGCTGTGTGAAGCTTTTTGCAGGCTCTCAGGCCACTCCCAGGTCTCCAGGCCTTGGAATTTCTTGAAAGCTGAAGTAGCCAGTGATAAGCATTTGAAGAGAAATGTTAAAATGAAGATGCCCAAGTCTTGACAGGGGTTTACCTGTGATCCTGCAAAAGACCTGTTTGAGAAACCATGAGCCCAGTCATTGGCTGTGAGGATTTCTGCTCATCCTGGGGGCTGTTTCCACCAGCCCCTGCTGCTTGCTCTGCTGACCCTGTGGGCAGGAGCTCACAGGGCTCTTGCTTTCTCTCCTTGCAGGTCTTGCGGAACAGAGGGGTTTATGAAAACGTCAAGTATGTTCAGCAGGAAAACTTCTGGATCGGCCCCAGCTCAGTGAGTGCTGTCGGTGGCACTGTTGGTGGCACTGTTGGTGGGCAGATGGGGGACTGTGCCCTGCAGTTGTGCCATCCCAGGGACTGGAGCCCTCCATTGCTTGGAACTTGGGGATCTGCCATAACTGTCAGGGAGCAGCAGTGCTCCCAGCCCCAGCTACCTCACAGAATGGGCTGTCTGAGGCTGGGATGGACCTGGGCACTCCTGCTTTGCACCCTGTCCCTACAAAGCCAAGCTTGGGGTTAGAGAAAATGCAGGAGTTGTATGGTGTGTGGACAGCTTTCCTGATGCCATTCCACCTGGGAAAGACAAAGATAAAGAAAGAATGTCCCAAAGTTTTTTCTTTCCCAGCCATGGGAAAGAAAATCCCTGAACTTTTGTTCTGGGCCCGTCTTCCAAGCAAATACCGAGAGTGTGCCTGGTGTGTGTTGGGCTTCATCATGCAGGATTTGTCCCTGGTCCCTTGAGTCTGGATAGGGCCACCCCGTGCAGTTCCCCCAGCCTGCTCTGCCCCTTGGCTGAGCTGGGTGTTTCCATCTCTGCCAGGAGGCCCTGATCCACCTGGGGGCCAAGTTCTCACCGTGCATGAGGCAGGACCAGCAAGTGCACAGCTTCATCAGCGCCAAGAGGGAGAAGGAGAAGCACTCGGCCTGTTGTGTGCGGAACGACAAGTCGGGCTGCGTGCAGACCTCAGAGGAGGAGTGCTCAGTGAGTGCCAGGGCCCCTTCCCTGCTGCCCCTGGTGCTTCTCCCTCCCTGGGCTTCATGGTGACACCTCTCCTCTCTCCTGCAGTCCACGCTGGCCGTGTGGGTGAAGTGGCCCCATCACCCCAGCACGCCGATGCTGGCAGGGAACAAGAGGCAGTTCGGGTCTGTTTGTCATCAGGACCCCAGGTAGGTCCTGCCTGGCCCAGCTGCCATCCTGGGGGACAGGGCCAGTGGTGAGTCAGCCCCAGGCCAGTGGATTGCTGGATGGGACAGCAGCTGCTCTGCAGACCAAGGGATATGGGGCAGTGATGTCCCTGCCTGTCCTGACGACTGCAGGGGAGGCTCAGGCAGAGTGTGACTGTATTTCTGTTCGCCCCTGGTCTCCACTGGTGTTGCTGCCCACCTGCAGAGTTGCTGTTGTGAGCTGTGGGTGCCTTCCTCATCCCACTCCCCCTCCTCCCCTGCTCCCCACACACACAGGGGTGCAGCAGTTCCCAGCACACCTCTGCCCCCAGCCCTGCCAGCTGCTGGGTGGCACTGCACAGTCACTGGGGGCTGATGTAGAGCTGAGAGCAGCTCAATTCCCACTCTCTGGGTGTGTCCACCTGGAAGGGATCCAGCTGGTTGCTGGGCAGCTGCCTGCTCTCCTGCCTTTGTGCTGCAGCAGTGACTAGAAGGAGGCTGTAGCTTTGATGAGCATGGTCTTGGCTGATCTGGGGGACAGAGGGGAGCTGTGGGATGGCAGCCTTGGGATAGGGACAGTGTGGGAATCCTGCCTGGTGCTGGGGAAAGGTACTTCAGGCTGATTGTGCTCTGTTGCTGCAGGGTGTGTGAGCAGCCAGCCTCGATGGAGCCCCACGAGTGGCCAGACGACATCACCAAGTGGCCGGTGAGCATCCCGGGAGGCACAGAGCCTGCAGGGCAGCTGGAACATGGCCCTGGCATCCCCCTGTGCAGAGCCACAGCTGTGCTGGTGGAAGGGCAGGGCCTCTGGTGCAGCTTCTGCTGCTTGTCACAAGCACCAGCTCAGGGCAGCCATGGTCTGCCTCACCAAGGCTCAGAGCCCTCCAACAACACAAGTTGCCCTGTGCCAACTGAAGCCCTGGGCCCTCCCAGGGTAACAGGAGGATGGAAACCAGCTCAGCCTCAGGGCTGGAGAGGAGGTGGCAACTGATGCTCAGGCAGATGGAGTATCAGGCAGCATCCTGCTGTCGGAGGGAGGCCTCTGTCTGGGAACTGGCTTCTTCCCAAGGGGCTGTTTTGACTTTATCCAGGCAACTGTTGTTGTTTTCTAGATCTGCACAAAAAACAGTGCTGGGAATTACACCAACCACCTCCACATGGACTGTGTGATTACAGGCAGGCCCTGCTGCATTGGGACCAAAGGAAGGTAAGGAGTTCTGCCTGTGTGGAGGGGCTGGGTGTTGGGGTGAGACACAGGGGGTCTTTTCAGGTTGTAGACACAGCCATTTGTCCTCCTTGTCCTTTCCACACACAGCCCAGAGCCCTGCTGGGAAGGGGAGTTGGACAGAGAGCCAGGACAGGTCTCCCAGCCGGAGCAGGACTCTGGGATGAGCAGGAGATAACAGCCAGCATGAGGTGCAGCAGGGTATCTCACTCAACTGGTCCTGCAGTTTGGAGGGACTTGGATCATAAGGGATTAAATAATTCTGCTGAGGAGTTCTGGGAATGTCCAGCTACATTGGCCCCAACCTGCAGTCCACAAGCACTCAAAGGACATGCCAGGAAACGACGGGCTCTGGGTTTGCAAAAGAGGAAGATGCTGTTCTTCCTCAGCTGCTCCTGAGCTTGAGTAGTTACCTAGTGCTTGGGCCTGGCTTTCCCTCCTGGGGAGAAAAATCAGTGCTGTCCCAAGGAGTTTCTCTGTCCCTGAAGGTCATAACCAGGATGCTCCTGGCCTAGGCCCCCTTTCCACTCTGGCAGCTGCAGAGGCACAAGACTCCCCCAGCCTGAGACAGCTTCCCCAGGCTGTGGTGGTTCTCAGCTGTAAATAGCTCAGCTTTGGCACCTGTTTTGGAGCCTCTGTGTGCTGGTCTGTGGAGGTGAGGCAGGGATCCCTGTGGGAGAGAAGCAGGAGGGGTGAGTGGAGAGTGGCACTGCACTCAATGGGAATGTATTTGTGCCTCTGTTGAGACACTACAGCAGCTGAAGGCATCAGTTCTCACAGATGGGATGAGACAAGGGGGAATGGGCAGCCTGAGAAGGGCACAGGAGTGATCCATTGTCCCTTCCACGTGTGACTTGTGCCTCCTGCAGGTGTGAAATAACCTCCCGGGAGTATTGTGAATTTATGCGGGGCTATTTCCACGAGGAGGCAACGCTCTGCTCTCAGGTGAGTGTGGGGCTGGGGGGTTGTATGGCTGCCCTTCTCCCTCCAGTTCCCCTTGGCAGCTTGGCAAGGTCTGAGGGGTGACAGTGCTGCAGTGTGGGTGGCAGGCCTGTGTCCTGTCCCGCCCTGAGCCTGCGGGAAGCTGCTGATCCAGACTGGAGTGGCAGAGCTGGCTGCATCTGTAGCTCTTTGGAGGCCATTTCAGGACTTGGGCTGGCAGCTGTGGGAGCCCAGCACAGGACCAGTGTGTAGGCAGGGGGAGAAGGCACCTGTCCTGCTCCATGAGTGAGCAGATGCCTTAGCTGTGTGTGCTGGGGTGGAGAATGAGCATAAAGCTGCCACAGGGAAGGGTGGGTCACGTGTCACTTGGTGCTGGGACTTGGTTCAGCAGAGAAGCAGGAGGAGCCCTCTGCCACAGATACCTGCAGGCTCTGCCCTGGCCTTGGTGAAGGGCCCCTGACATCCCTGCTCCTGCCCTAGGTGCACTGCATGGATGACGTCTGTGGGCTCCTCCCTTTCCTAAACCCAGAAGTCCCCGACCAGTTCTACCGCCTCTGGCTCTCGCTTTTCCTCCATGCTGGGTAAGCAGAGGGGTAAAACTTCCCCTGTCTGGGTGGGGGAACCCTCAGCCCTGGGGTTGCTGAGTTGCTCTGGCTGTCCCTGCCCAGGGGACTCGGGGGTGCTGAGCTGTGGCCCCTGCCAACGTTTACCATCCTGTGTTTGCTGGGAGGGATTAGTGGCGTGGGCAAGACCAGAGCAGGAGCTCTGAGCAAGGCTGGGGACAGAACACGAGCACAGGGGTGACTTCAGTGGCTGCTGCTTCAGCTCCTGTACTCTGCACTTGGCAGGATCCTGCACTGTCTGGTTTCAGTCTGTTTCCAAATGACGATCCTGCGGGACCTGGAGAAGCTGGCAGGGTGGCACCGCATCTCTATCATCTACCTTCTCAGTGGCATCACTGGGAACCTTGCCAGTGCAATATTTCTACCCTACAGAGCAGAGGTGGGTCTCCTGCAGACCGGGGTCCTGGTAACTTGCCCTGAATACAACCCTCCTCTCCGTGGCTGTGCCTCTGGGGCAGAGGCAGAGATGCCAGAGCTGGCTCGTCCCTGCAGCGCAGCCTTGGCACATGGGGAGGTAGAAGATGGCACTACACCATCAGCAGCAACATCCCCCAGAGCACCCTGGGCTTTCCTAGTCACTGGCCTGGGCTGGCTGCAGGAAGAAAGCTGCCCCATAACAAATGGGGAGTTGCCAACCATGGGGTAGGAGAGGCCTCGGGCAGGCTGGGAATCGAGCGCTGTAGCTGGTGCCAGAGACCCTCCACGTGAGAGTGGCACGAGAGGGGCAAAGGGCAGAGCTCAGTGTGCCCACAGAAGACTGCATGGCAGGACCATCTTCCAGGTCCTTCTGTAAAGAAAAGTGCATGGTGGGTGGGGGGAGCCAGGGGATTGCCTTCAAGGGCTTCTCTTCTCTGGCAACTTAAACCAGATCTGCCCTCCTTAAATACAAAGTCTGTTCTGGGGATTGCTGGCCTCACACCTTGGCCCTAAATCCAACCAGGCCCCTTTACTCCTTGCATCCCATTACAGGGATGAAGTTGAAGGCTGCAGTGTCTCTTCCCCAAGAAACACTGAACAAGGAGTTGAGTAACAAGTAACTGATGCCTGGGGCTGGCTGTAGAGGCCAGGGAGACAGCACGAGCCTGACCTTATCTGTAATGCTCTTCTTCTGCAGGTTGGCCCTGCAGGATCCCAGTTTGGGATTCTGGCCTGTCTCTTTGTGGAGCTCTTCCAGAGTTGGCAAATCCTGGCACGCCCATGGAGGGCTTTCTTCAAGCTGCTGGCTGTGGTGCTCTTTCTTTTTGCCTTTGGCCTCCTGCCTTGGATTGATAATTTCGCTCACATTTCAGGATTTATCAGCGGATTCTTCCTCTCCTTTGCCTTCCTGCCCTACATTAGCTTTGGGAAGTTTGATTTATATAGGAAACGGTGCCAAATTATAGTTTTCCAGCTCATCTTCATTGCACTCTTCTCAGGACTCGTGATTCTGTTCTATTTCTACCCCATCAAGTGCGAGTGGTGCGAGTTCCTCACTTGTATACCCTTCACAGACAAATTCTGCGAGAAATACGACCTGGACGCGCAGCTCCACTGAAAGGCAAAGACTGGCCTCTCGAGCAGGCCCTGGAGATGGACTGTCTTTGCATTATGGGGACAAAGCCTCTAATCCAGTGACACTTCTAACCCTGCCCGTGGTTAATTTAAACTGTCTCCTTAGCACTTGGCAGGCATGTTTTGCCTTATCTCAGAAGACTCTGAAAACAGAACGTTTGTGCCTTGTTCAATTGTATTGAACCTTTTCTGCTGCCATTATTTTTATTACACTAGTTTCAATACTACATTTTTAACCAGAGTTGTTTACTACTGCTAAGGTGGTGATTAAACAGTGAGGTAGCGTTTTAGCTACTGTTAATTGTTCTGCATAGTCTGTGCCTGTGTTTGTTACTTAATCTCACTTACACTGTTCCATGTCCCAGGAGAATCAATCCCCTCTGAGCACCAAAACCAGCCAGATGCAGATCTGCAGCTGGAAATAAGGGCCTGAAAAGCTTCAGAAAACTAGAGGGTCTCTTTAATCCCTGGAATTGTGTTCCACGTACAAACAACAACCACAAAAAACATGTGAGAATGTCCAGTCAACAGAGTTTGCTCCTCTTCAGAGTATTAAACCTTTTCCTCCAGGAAAGTGCTGAATCCACAGTCTGGTCTTGGTAGGGCTGGTTTGTCTGCTCTCTCTCTGTTAAGGAAAGAAAATATTTGGCAGTGAAAATGGTTGCTGCATGCTGGGCTCTTACCACCACACTGCCCTGACTGTCCAGGAGGGATCAGCCAGTGCCACAGGTGGCTGCTGGGAGGGCACATATGTGGATGCTGCAAATGTTGAAAGAAGAAGGAAAGGTTACTGTGGTCACAAAGCAACAGTTTCTAACTGAGCTACCTGGAGCAGCAAAACAAAACCCCAAAAGTTTGCACAAGCTGCTCTTCCCATTGCTCTTCCACCCCCGTGATTGTGTTTTTAGAGACATAATTTTAAACTCACTAAGCTTGAGAATCTTGGCCACATCTTGTGTTTGCATGCACAACTTTCTAAAAATAGCAGTATTTACGTCTGCATGAGTTACAAACAGGTACATACATGTGGCTGCCAATGCTTCCTGTGCTGGAAGTGTTCTTAGAGGCATAAGCTGCACAGAAATATTATGACCAAAAGTTGCCCAGCAATGTGTCCTGTCTCCTGAGAACTGTGAATCAGCTGAACTCAAGTTTCTATAAGCCAGGAAAAATGGACAAACTGGGAGTCAAAAACTACAGGCTATGTAAGCTGAGGTCCCTTTCCTAATTCCTCATAGCTTGCAGTAATTGAGAAGAATGGCTCAATCCACATCCACTGTGGCACAGCAACAAACACGCTGTGTTTGCTCCTTGCATTTGCCTGGGTGCACCAGAGGGACATTTCTGTTGGCTGCAGGTGCTCAGGGTGGCACAGGAGTGGGAGGGGCAGGCTGGCAGAGCAGGAACTCAGGGATTACAGTCTGAGGCTCACAGAAGGACCTGAGTGCCCTGCTGATGACCATCATCTGTCATACAGACACCTTCCTCCTACCAGGGATTCATCAGCATCCAGCCACGCTCCTGACAGCAATTCCCAGACATTTAAGAAGCCTAAAAGAAAGAAGTGTCCTAGAAGCAATCCCAGCAAAGGAACACCGTGTTTAATGAATCTCAAGACACTGAGAGCAGATTCAGAGTCTAAACATAAAAGTACAGTTAGAGATGCCACTGCCAGCACTGAGACGTCCCTGCTGCTGCTCCCAGTGTGTGCTACCTGAAGCAGCTGAATTATCACTCCCTACCCTGAGAGGAGCACAAACACCAACACCAGGATATGGAAACAGGCCACAGCCTCATGCAGGAACGCTCTGCAACAGCAGCTGCTCTGAGCCTGAACACCATGGCCCAGGGAAAAAGACGAAGAACATCGAGGACTTACCCAACAGGTCACTTCCGAAGCTTCTTTATGAAGCTGACCTCATCCCTGTTCCTGATGCCATACCTGAACAGAGAGTTATGCTGTTATATGCCAGTTTCCCAGGAAAAACGACCTTTGAAATTCTATAGTCTCCTCTTTCCCAGGGGCAGATGGACTCCTACGATCACAGGACACAGTAAAATTCTCCCATGCTGCCAGCCCTGAAGGATCTGATCATCTGCCTTTACCTCCAACCACCCCTTAAATGCCACATCTGTCACCCATTGCTTGGTCTTCCAAGGTCAGCTTTGCTGTCTTGCTAAATTTGTAATACTTCAGACCACCTTTTCTCACTGATCTGCACACAGGCTGGCACACCCAGCACTGCTGTATGGAACAGCAGAATGCTTGAAAGTGCTTCATCCCTCCTCATTCCCAAGAATGGGCATGGAAATGTGGGAGTCACCTGCCCGTGTTGTTAGCAGATTGTCTCTGAGAGGTGGCTGAGCAGGTCTAAAGATCAACACACATATCCTTAGTTAGCTCTTTCCTTGGCATTCTCCGTGGATGTTAAGGGGTTGGAATGGACTTTAAAGATTATCCAGTCCCAACCCCCCTGGGCCACGTGCAGGGGCACCTCCCACTAGACCAGCTCCCTCAAGGCCTTGTCCAACCTGGCTTTGAACACTGCCACGGCTGGGGCATCCACAACCTCCCTGGGCAACCTGTGCCAGTTCTTATTCCCTCCTCCTTTGTTCCAAATCAACAGCTCTGCAAGGCTGTCACCTATTCTGCAGGAGTTTTGGAGGGATGATCAAGAGCTGTGAGTCCCAGTGCCTGGGGTGGTCTGAACTGGATAAGCACAGCACAGGATGGTGATGGCTGAGGAACCCCCCCAAGGCCATCCTGTCCTGCAGAGAGCCTCTCTCTGCCTGTCCC